TTGGCTTATTTATTATGCTACGTTTGTGGTTGTTTGCTACGTGTTTTTAGGTATAATATATGACATGCTTTCATTTTTTGTTGTTGTTTATATATAAAACATTGCAAATTAGGGCGGGCGGAGAAATGGACTTTCAACTTACAGAATAAGTTACGTTACCTAGTTGAATTATGTTTAAATTGAATCTCTGACTTCGAAGGAGTGAGTAAATTATGCTCAAATTGATATAGTTTTAATCCCTCTCAAACAATCGAAAGTGTCGATTCTGTTGGGAAGTAACCATTTTCATAATTTTAACTTTATCATAATGCTTCCAAGGTGAATTTTACAATAATGTTTTCCGTGAATGAGATTCGAATTCGTTATTATAAGATTAAACTTATAAAAAAAAAATATCTGGCTGATATTTTTTTATGATTTTTTAAAGTTTTGATATTTTGAATCAATATCTCTTCATGGGCTAATATTAATCAATTTGTTTATAGAAAAAATACAGAAAAAGAGTAAAAATAAAAAACATGTCCCATTTTTCAAATAAAATATAATTTATATACTTTATGTTTTTCATCAATTATACACATAAATATAACAACATTGACACACTCGTACTAGTTAACCCCTCTCCACTATAACATCGGTGTAAAAGATGAACAGACCGATAGAGGCAACTTTTTATCTCATAATTGACATGTGAAATACAAGTTTAGCCAAATAGATCTAAGATTGATTCATCAAAGCAAAATGTTTATCTACACGTGGGTGCAAGGTTAGAATCTTTACTTTAAGAATATATATACATAGTCGAATAATTATGGCATTAAAAAATCAAACCATTAATATTTAAGATGATAATTAATATTTTATTTTATATATCTATGGATTACATCTTATTTATCGGTGCAAATATGTTATATATATTTTATCGGAATATTTAAATCGGAAGGACCACGTTTTAGAAAAAGTAAAATAAAGGGATCAAAACATAAACTTCCAACAAAAAAAAAGAAAAAAAAAGAAAAAGAAAAGTATTTACACATGTGAAAATCGAGACTAATTTTTTTTTTAGTTGAAAAGGAAAGTATTGAAGGTTGAGAGAGAAGCAAAGAGAGGAAGGGAAGACAGCCACGGTTTGCAAAAAAAAAAAAAAAAAGAGAGACTAAAATAGACTTTTACTCGGCCACAACTTTGTTCGAATCGGAAAGCCTCTCCCCTTTTCTCTCTGTAATTCTCAATCAGCACCGCCTAATCATGGCGCCACTCTACCGCTTTGCCGGAGCGAGGGCGGCGGCGACGACCTTCTCTTCCTCCATGTTTTGCCGTTATGCTCTGTTGAAGGCCTTTTCTTCTTCTTCTTCTTCTTCTTCTTTGAAGTCTGAAGTGGACCTCAAATCGTCGATGCTGAGCGGGAGCTCTGCACCTTCGCGTGGTGATCGTCCCACGGATAGGAATGTGAAGTGGGTTTTTTTGGGGTGTCCTGGGGTTGGGAAAGGAACTTATGCGTCTCGGCTATCCAGTTTGCTTGGTGTTCCTCATATCGCCACCGGTGATCTCGTCCGTGAGGAGCTCTCTTCCTCTGGTCCTCTCGCTTCTCAGGTTTTTTTTTTTTTTTTTTTTTTTGGTTTCGTTTGATTTTGTTCTGTTAAGAATTGAGAATTGTTCTGTTCAATTTGATCTGGTTTTTGGCTGTTCGTTAATTTTGTTTTTGAGAGGGGATGCACGTTTAGTTTCTTTACATATAGAGATCAAAATGACTAAGAGATCGAATTGATTATGATTTATGTGACGGAAACCGTGTCTTCTTACGGAAATGATCGTTGAAATAATGGGTCGATTCTGAAGTTGAAAATTGTGATCATGGAAGATGTTGTATCGAGCATTTTGTTTGGTTATATTGCATGTGGGAACCGAATGCATCCTAAATTCCTGCTCCTGAAAGAAGACAGAAATTCGTGAGGGTTACTATGAATCAGGCTTCTTCTTCTTCCTCTTTCTCTTGGGTACTGTTCTGTTTCCAATCTGAAGCAGTGAATCATGCCACATTAACGTTTCTAGCGATCACTTACAGGAATTGGACTGAAGTGATCCTTTGGCATGTCTCATGATTTCATGACAGATTCTATGCATGTAAAAATTTTGTCGCCTACAATGGCTTCTGTTTATTCATGCGTGACTCTGGATTTGCATTATCATTTCGCTGATCCCATTTTATGCAAGTGAATGATTAATCCAATGCTTTAAAATCCCTATAGTTTTGGGAATTATTGACCATGTTCTTTGTTTTGTACATTGATTTATGGAAGTAAATTCATTCAGAATGACTACGATGAGTTAGAAGGCGAATTACCTTCAATTTGAAAGTCAATCGCGAGCCCTTTAATTCATGCCTCGAACTTTTGCAGCTTGCAGAGATTGTTAGACAAGGAAAATTGGTTTCAGATGAAATCATATTTGATTTATTATCCAAACGTCTTAAAGCTGGTGAAGCTAAGGGTGAATCTGGGTTCCTTCTTGATGGCTTCCCTCGAACTATTAGACAAGCGGTGAGATCTTTGTTGTATAAGGATTTTTTCTTTGTTTTTTAACATCATGACACCTTTTGTATGGAATCTCAATTACAGTCTTAGTGAAATCTTTGCATGTTGACAAGAAAAGTTTCTGTCTCGTGGTGTTCTTCAAGGGATCAGAGCTTTTTATTTTCTGCAGTTCTCCTTGCAAATGAGTTGATATGATTAATGACTTTCTCTGAGACAAACGTGCAAATAACAAAGAACCTCTATTTATGTATAATATGGAAATGCTTGTTGTTTTAGAGCAAGAAATCTTTGATGATCCGTAATAAACTTTTCTTACTCTGATAGCAAAAGTTCATTAATTTCTTGTTCTTTTTTGTTAGCCTTATACGGGTCTAGCATGCTGGCTCATGTTCATTTTTTTCCCTTTCTTTTTCAGGAAATAATGGAGGGGGTGACTGATATTGATTTGGTGATTAATCTAAAGCTGCGAGAAGAAGCACTGCTCGCGAAATGCCTTGGTAGGAGAATATGCAGTGAGTGTGGAGGAAATTATAACGTTTCCTGTATCGACATCAAGGATAAGGAAGGCAGACCTGAATTATACATGGCTCCCCTTCTTCCTCCTCCTAACTGTGCATCTAAACTTATCACACGATCAGATGATACTGAAGAAGTTGTTAAGGAACGTCTCCGAATATATAAAGAAACGGTATGAGTTCATTACAAAATGTTTACTACCAATGTTTTCATGAATTAAATTACGCAAATCGTCTTTTACGCTTCAAGCACGAGCTCTTTGAAGACGGGAGGTAGTTTTGTGCATTTTTCATATTTGTAACTTCGTAACGAAGTCAAAGAATATGGATGGTTCCTCTGGTACTTTCTTTTTACATGAGTGTTGCGTTCTATGTGCGGTCACACGTTCGAAACAAAAAATGTTTACTCTGGTGGAGCTATTGACTCACCAAGTGTTGCCATCCTTGTGTTATGTCATACAAACATGTCTGCATCATGTGGCTGATCCTAGCTACATTGTTCATCTTCACATTTAGTACTTTACGCCATTGATTCGATAATACTTAAGAAGAATCGTTCTTGCAGACTCAACCTGTCGAGGAATACTACCGTAGACGCGGGAAGTTATTAGAGTTTGAACTTCCAGGAGGAATTCCGGAATCCTGGCCGAAGTTGCTTCGGGCACTTAATCTGGAGGACCTCAACCACAAACAATCAGCTGCAGCCTGAAATATTGTAGTGTATTGTGTGGTAAGTCAATATATCAAATATATTCTTTGCATTTGAAAACAAGTGCATATTCTTATTGCTTTGTATTAGCACAAGTTGGAGTAAATAAAATGGTCAGAATTGGGAAGTGGGGAAACTCTTGTACTTCTGATAGAGAGTAGTTTTGCTTACAAGTTAGAACTTAGAAATGTGGGCAACGATTGTGATTGTGCTTCAGAGGCACATGTCAATCTGAGCCATTGATAGCAGCTAAAGTAGCTCCAGGATGTATTCTCTTTCAATGATATTATGATATTGTATTGAAATCAATGTAAAATGATTAAAGTTATAGTTTAAATATGATTTTGATTCCCAACTTTAGTTCTTTTATATTGGTTTTACACACTGTCTTGAAGCCTTGGACAAGTATGCTTGTGACACCGCGCACCTAATAGTTCAAGAGGCGATCTTTTTGAATTTTATAAGCATCTTCATGGAGCAATTCTTAGCAAGTACTAGTTTTCGTTTGAGCGATTGACTTAGAGAATCCAAACGTGCTCATAAGATGCACAAATGAAACCTATAGCTTATCAGCATGCCCAATTGACTTCCACATTTGTAATTCTTTTAGTACAACATATTTGAGATACGAGTTTTGAAGTTCAATGTAAAGAGTACGTGTCAATTATTCTTTAATCAAATCTATCAAATTATTTTTAACATTTAAACATTTTCAAATATGTTATTAATTAACATTTTTTACAATTTAATATTAAATCAATAAACTTTAATGATTTAGTATTTAAATTTGGAAAGAAATTTCAAATATTTTAGTAACCTATTCATTTAAAGAATTTCCACCTAACTCCACCAACCAAGCCAACAAAGTAGTAACTTGGCAATTAATCCGTATCTATTTCTTGAATATCTCCATTAGGTGTGAAATTCTTAAAATAAAAAATAATAGCAATACAGAAAACCGTCTTTTAGAATACTTAAAAGATAAATTCGCTTGACCAAACCCAACCCAACTCATACACACTCTTGCTGATTCTGAGAAGTCGAGCAGGACGTGTGCCTGTACTAATAAAAAGGAATTCATTTCATCTTGCCTGGACGGTTTTAACTCATTTTTAATGGCTTCAAAACACAGCGTCCATTTGAACTAATTAGAGCCTCGATCTCTCGTTGAACTAAAAATAAACCATCTATCACAGAACCAAGTAAAAAAAAAAATCATAAAAGCTTTGAAAACAAGGCAGATCAAGGGAGAAATTGTGTCCCATCTATTAGTTCTGCTCCAATCCTTGAAGCAGAGATCTATTTCTATATAGATACAAACAACACCAAGCTCAATTGTACATAAAGAATCTTGTGCAAAATAAACAGAAAGGAGAGGGGAGGTGGAGAAGCAAACGGATTGAAGCAGGCGAGGAAGAATAAATTATAAAAATTATCACAAAAGAATTAAAAGTTTTCTGAGGAGATCAAAACCTGGGAGTAGAGGAGGAGCTATCTGGTATGCAACTGCAGCTTAGAAGAGGTTAATAAACAGACACCATGAGACATGTCTGTGTACTCGTTCATCGCATCAGAGCATGGAAACATAGAGAAAGCTGAGAAGGGGTTATGAAGATTGCAACAATCAGATGATTAGATTTTGAACATATTGGTTGGTTTCATGCTAGCTTCTTGTCTGAACAAATTCACAGTTCTCTTCTAGAAGATCTAGGGGTAGACGAGCTACTGTGAGGGTTTTGAACTGTCTGGGGTTCGGGATCGAATTTTTGGGAGGCAAGGTATGTCAGGGCTGTGACGACATCGGCAATAAGGGGTCGCATATGAGGCTGTTCCTGAACACACATTGCAGCTACTGCAAGAGCTTGGTATAAGCCTCTGACTGGGTACTGTCCTTGGAGCAATGGATCAGCCATCTGCCAAAATTTCCTTCTGTCTTTAAATAAGGGATGTGCCTGAGATGAAGAAAAGTAAGATTTTTCAGACTATAAATATATGATCTTTCCCATATTTCTTACAGGACGTATAAATAACTACTCTCGTAGGAAATCATATCATCTGACATAAATCGTATTCGAAAATGCAGCAAAGATAGAGCTCAAGAACTGACAGAAGAAAACCAGATCCACAAAATTCAAGATCTCTAAATGAATACTCAAACAAATGACAGCAGACAATCATGGTTCAGCTTCTTACAAGTTATGATCATCCAGAGAGTAGAGGAGACAGAAACAAAAAAAAACTAATCATAATAATAATGTTGCTGCCTTCATGATCTTTAGCACGATATATTTTACTGATGTAACAAAGTAAAGTTAGAAGGCATGAACTGGATAACTGAAGATGAAAAAAGAGGATGGATTTCTACCCATGCTACCAAATTATGTTCCCCTGCGGCTCTTGAATTGTCGATCGCTTTTCTGCCAGTAATAATTTCAAGCAGAACGACTCCAAAGCTATAAACATCTGATTTTAAAGTGAGCTGGCCAGTCATTGCATACTCAGGAGCACAGTATCCATAAGTTCCCATCACTCTTGTGGACACATGAGTGTTATCCCCCACGGGGCCCAATTTTGCTAAGCCAAAATCGGATAACTTGGGATGGTAATCTTCACCGAGCAGGATGTTAGAGCATTTCAGATCACGATATATAACTGGGGGGTTAGCTTTGTCATGTAAATACTCTAAGCCCTTTGCAGCACCAGCAGCTATTTTCATTCTTGTATTCCAGTCGAGTCGTTTATTATCGGGTGGAAGATCTGGCAAAGCATTTTATGACGATGTCATTACCTCAAAAGAAACAAGATTAAAGAAGTATTCAGAAGGGTAAGATGACTGAAAAATGAAGATAATGGACAATGTGATAGATGCAAACCATGTAGATGGTCTTCCAAAGATCCCAATGGCATGTATTCATAAACCAAAAGTCTCTGATCACCATCCGCACAATAGCCAATTAAATTAACAAGATTTGGATGATGGAGTAGGCTTAACATTAGTACTTCAACGAGGAACTCCCTGTTTCCTTGTAGTCCATTTCGATCAAGTTGCTTGATGGCAACTACCTGTACTCAACAGACGAATAAAGATCAGAACCTTCAAGCACCACCCACCAAGGCATGTCCCAGCAACGAACGAGTGTAGAAATTCAAAACCGTGCAGTAATTTAAATAAAGACTTTCAAACAAAAACAGTAAATTGTCTATTTGGTCCATTTCCTTTTTTCTTTAGATTTTGTTATCTGTGCCTTAGGTGCATGAGACAGAGAGAGAGAGAGTACACAACTTTACAGCTTTATTTTCCTTCCTATTTAATTAGTTAGCTATAAACAATGCCAAATCTTTGCCAATAACTCCATTTCTATAGACGGTTTTCAGTCCAATACATATACTATGACAAATTCGCAGGCTCAAAGGTCGAATGGATGATTTTAGCAATGAGTAAGTCAACAAAAGAAATTCTTTTTGCTAATCACTACATTTCTTCTGACAGTTTTTATAAGTATATTCAAGATACAAATTTCAATTGTTTCTCACAACGAAGAATGAATAATCATAGAATGATTTAATAATCTCAACCACATTTATCTCAGCTAGATCATCATAATGTTCCTTATGAGCTGCAATAAGATCATGGAAAGGGGAAGGGGTGCAAAGTTACTGCTAACATGCCAACTGAGCTATCTTCATTATGCAAATTACTGGCTGACGATAAAATAACAACATTGATACGAGTGAGGTCAGCTATATTGGTAAGAAATGTTTCCACGAAATTGCATCCTATGGCATAAGATAGCTAAACATTTTAGGACTGTTCAATCTTGCAGCATAGATAGCAGAGATACCCAATACCGACTTCACAGATGAAGAAATAAAGCAATAGAACATTAAGCTTGTGAAAACAAACTTGACTTAAGAACGTGTGTATTGCGGAATGTGTCAAATGATGCGAGTTTAAGGTACTAAAACTCGACATTGTCACGTTTACTCCGATGAAGAAAAGAAAACCTAAAATCTACCTGATTTATGCTCTCCAGTCGTCCTTTATATACTTGACCGAAACCTCCTTCACCTAAAAGACAGTCTGCTCTAAAATACTTTGTTGCAGCTGCCAACTCTCGAAATGAGAATGTAATTGTTTGTGCTGAAATCTGATCAGAACTTCCATCTTTTAGAGCCTCGTTCTTCCCATTAAACGACCCCTTTACCATCAATTTTTCTGCATATTAAACATAATGTTCAGTAAAAAGTTTTGCAAAGGAATCAAAAGGAAATTTTGATAATTAAAATAAACGATCATCATTGAAAAAGAAATTACAGGTAACATGGAATGATTCTCACATATTTAATAGGAAACGGTAGGAAATGAGATCCATCATCAGCATTAGCTGCATTCATGAGAGACCAGAATACTTGCAAACAATAGGATTATTTTTCCCAAAAAAGAAATCAGGAAGCATTTTATGACAGTCTGATCTTCAACAAGATGACATCTAACAGTCCAACAACCCAAGATGAAAAGATTGATGCATCAACGGAAAAGAAAATCGAAATTGGAATTCTAAAAAAAAAAAAAAAAAAAAAAAAAAAAAAAAAAAAAAAAAAAAAAAAAAAAAATAA